TGGTATGAGAATATTGAAACTGCCTTCGAATCTGAATGTGGCCTAAACATTGTAAATATCAGGTCTGCAACTGTGATCCTTCGAAAAATCAGTTTCACAAACTCTACAGTCGCATAGTTGCTTGACTGCGTCATACAGCGATCAGGAAAATATCTGACCACTCCTCTCAGATAGTATAGAGTGCCGCGAAGCCTACATCACATGGCGCCAAGGTCAGCGACCACATGTTCATCATGGTTATTGTATCAATTTATTTGTACACAGCTAATTGCTGATTCTCGATGTTATCTGGTTTTCACAATAGAAACTGTTTTATCGAATCGCGACCATTTCACGTGAACGATGCGTGCACAAGACGAGCCCCGTTCTTAATGCGCACCAAAACAGTATTTATCAGTATACTGTGACTACCGGTATATTCGCATTGAATTAACATAAATTGCCCACTTCATTGTTTTTGTTTTTGAGATCATCAGTTAGCAGCCTCAAAATTGCATTAAGATAAATATATCACTGTTAACTCTCAAGTGATTTTTACATCCACGATTATTCTTATATTTTTGAAGTTTCCTAATAAATACTATACTCAAAATGGCTCAATAAATACTATTCTGAGCATTGTACGTAGTAAATATTACTGTGTATGACAATAATTACTTAAATAATAAACTTTTACCTACCGGTTGCAGTTTTCATTTCCTTTGTAAGAAATGTTTCCGTTGCAGAAAAAACGATGTTGACGTCTGTATCTTATAAATTGTGTGCAGCCTGCCGATATTAATAGACGCAAAAAATAACGAACAAATTAATCAGTAATATAAAGCAAAGGCAATTTATACTCGATGCTTTGAAAATGAGGAATGAATAAAAAATGATAACAACATATCGTAAAACAAACATTTGCAGTATTAATTTCAAGAATCAAAAGACACATAGAAATCTATTTCCGAAACCTTGAAGTAGCTGTTCTCTGAAATATATTTTTTCATCTATCAATTTTCTGTTATACTTCAAGCTACAGCTTCTTCCCTAATTTACATATTTTACATCGACTTATACCCGAATGCGCATCCTGAAAATAAACCACCGCCTTTGTCACTGACAAAAGTCAATGCCAATTAATCTTTCGAATACATATATTTCCATAAACGATGTACATATCACAAAGTACAACGATAGTAAAATAGAATAATACAGTTGCTTTTAAAGCATACAAGTTTGGATAAAGGAAAATAATTAATTGCAAAGAATTTGCATACTCTTTTCAATCCAACATGAATATACAAATAAGGTAGAAGCATTGACCAACAGACAATCACAACAGACTGTCCTTCCAGAACCCAGACAAAACGACACACGAACATTAACCCGATTATTACAAATCTATAATTATAATCTGTAAACGCGAGAATTCCGAGAACGATAACAGTGATCTAGTGGATAGCACTGCCATTGCTGACAGAGTTAACGAGAACACGAGCGGTCAATTTCCTCGGCTCGATATCGAACCAAAATCCACCTTTGGCCGTCATCTGGAAGGTGTCCCTGCTGAGCTCCATGGGAATTGTGGTTCTGGCGTTTGGTTTCAAGTTGCAGCGAGAAAACAAGTTGAAGAGCAAAACCTTGGTCTCCAGAAGCGCGAACCTGTTGCCGATGCACATCCTCGGGCCCAAGCCGAAGCTCAAGAACATCCCGGAGTTCAAGATCTTCTTCGGGTCGTCGATGAACCTTTCCGGTTTGAACTTGGTCGGTTCCTCGAAGTATTGAGGATCGTACTGAACTCCATAGATCGGAATCCAAATATACTCATCCTTCTGCACCACATACGGCTTCAGACCGGGCTTCGCAGGTGGCAGTTCGAACGGTTTCGTGCAGGTTCGATCGGTAGCAACTATGACCGGGTACATCCTGAGAGCCTCGTTTATAATCGCATCGAGATACTTCATGTCGTTGATCGCCTCGTAAGTCACCTCGCCATTAGATTTCTCCAATACATCATCGATCTCCTCCTGCAACCTCTCCTGGACATCTGGATTTACACCTACTTCGTAGGCAGCGAAGCACATCAAGGTCGAGCTGCTTTCGAATCCACCGAAGAAGAAGACGAACGCTTGCGCGGTCATGTCCACTATGGAGAGTTCTTTGCCTGGGCCCATCTTGCCCCGGGTCTCCATCATCAGCTGTATCATATCCGGTCGCACGATGCCCTGTTCGTCCCTGGTCTTTATCGTGTCTTGAATTAGGTCCATGAAGAATTGAGTGACCTTTGGATCAAACAGTTTCATGCCGGTCCATTTGAAGACCCAGGGAAAACTGCGTATTACGAAGAACTTGAGCGTCTGCCATTTGCCAAACTTGGTAGCGGTTCTTCCGTTGGCATAGAACTTGTTGTCCCGATTAGCCATCGAGTCAACGTTCACACCGAACGCGCAAGTGGCGATCACGTCGTTCGTGTACCTGGTGAAGGCGTCCTTCAGCTCGATAGATTTGTCCTTTTCCGGTATTGCGGCGAAATGTTCTCCGTATTTGTTGGCGCACTCGCGCATCAGCTTGTACATCGCCTTCATCTTGCTGGACGTGAACGCGGGACTTAGCAACGTTCGCACCTCCTTCCATCGTTCCCCGCGCAGGGCGAAGAGATTTTTACCGAAGATAGGCTCAATTTCATCCGCTTTGATTGACCTGTGGTCCTGGAAGTGCTCGATATTCTTCATCGTAATAGACTTGATCAGCTCCAAGTCGCGGATCATGATCATCGGCACGGCGAAGTCGTAAACGCCTACGTATTTCGCGTCAGGCTGCGATTTGTAAAAATCAGTGACCATTTCTGCGAAGGTTATCTTTTTGATGAACAGCATCCAGACGCTGCTAAAGAACGGGATCTGGTTTGTGTGCGGAATTCCGCGCTCATTGAAGTATTGCAGTGATCTTTTCAGATAGTAGTACACGGCTATTGTAGCCACGACGACCAGCGCCATGGCCACGGTCCACAGGTCTATCATGACGATAGTTTCAGTTTTGATCACTAACTATTAATGATTATTGATTTTCCGACGTAACTTGTTCCAGCGAACCGAGGTTTCTTGTACCGGAGTGTTACCGCCTCGTCTACCACGCCTGTGTTTATACACTCGGTATTCTAGTATTCGTGTGTTAACGATCTGACCGTTCTTGACGCTGTGAAGCGACTGACATCGTTCATCCGTTTCATGAATCTTTTACCGCGTTCCCCCCACTCCGAAAAAAGGCGCACCTCGATGTGTGCGTGTGTGTGTATATCTTTCCTATCCATAATAAGATAAAGCGAATGACATCCTGCTCATTATCTGAAAACTCTGATACGTACGGGAGAAATCGATTGACGTCGTTGTGGTCTCGTGAAAATATAAGTAATCAACTAAAAATGTAATTTTTTTACATGTTTCAGTGGCTGTAGCTCGACTATATGTCAACCGATCTACCAAGATCTACAAAATACATTTTTTTTCATTTTCGTTGAATGTTCAGATGAAGAAGTTTGGGATAACATCGTTTTTTAAATTTTTGTGTCGTCACAACCATCTGAAATTTTTGAAAACAATTTATCTAACACCCCAAGAAAATTTATACCGCTCAATTATGAGAGAATTATTGTATTAAAATATGTTCAAATACTTTTTGCGCGGACCGTATTTTATTCAATTTAGAAATATTTCTTTTTCTCAAAACGTTGAAAACGTCGTTAAAGTTCGTTCTATGAATTTTCATTAATCTCTTCAGGACCAAAATGTTTCATATGTTATTTTATATGTAACTGTTGAATATATTTAAACCAGTTGAGAAATATTGCCACTGTTCTTACATTTTTGTATAATTCGATGACCTTGGAACACTCGTGGCAAGTGGAAAAATGCTAGTTTCAAAAATACAAAAACACTATTAAAAGAATTCAAGTAATATTATCTAAATTTTAGCGAACCTTGTAATTCATCGTAAAAGTTTTGTTAATAAAACGATATTCATCCCAATTTTCATCTCATCACATTTTTTATCTCTCTTCAAACGTGAAATACATTTATATACACAGAAAGTGCTTCACACAACCTTTGTTGCAGCTATATTCTCAATTACTACAATTCAAATGAGTCAGATTACGTTACCATTCAAGGATCAGCAGTAACAATAATGTCTACTTATAATGATTTCTTACAAAAAAGCTCACATTTACTGAAGATGAGAAGTTAATTTTGTTTAACAAAGAGCGCACTAATTCTTGTAAGAACATGTGCCATAATCATTTTATTGAATTAAAATTCACAATTGTGATCTAACGTTCACAGAGCTGGAATTTATAAAAATTATTAGTATCATATTACTATTCATTCAATAAGCCACTTTGTAAAATGGTATTGTTTTACAATTGTTACAATTTAACTCTTAGACATATAAATTGTTTGAAAAATGTCTTTGAAGCGATGGTAAGTACTACTAACTAGAAAAAACTGTTTTGATAAAAGATCTATTACATTAATGGAATATGAGATTATTCAATTATGCATAATTGTTCTTCATACTTCTTAAAAAAACAGTCTCCACATAAATTCACAAATATTTGAAACAGACACGCTTAATTTATGTAACTTAGTTCTTCATTTTCTATGTACTAAATTTAGTACTATGTACTAAATAAACTGCTCAAACTATTAACAGGGGACACGAGCTTTATATGAGCCGTTTATTTTGAAAGTGGCATAAGTCACTTTACCGTAATGAATAGTGGTGATTTTTTAATGTTTATACGAAATTATTTATACTGAGAAAAATATCAGTATCCTGAGATAACAAATACAAGTAAATCTTCTCGAAAGTTAGCATCCATATTTTTAAACGTGTTCAAACGCAAACCCTTAAATATATGAAAGTGACTTATGCCACTTTCAAAATAAACGGCTCA